ATCGCACAAGTGGACTTGCATACTTCTTCCAGGGGGGGTGCGAATTATTATTAGTTTTACAAATATTTTCAAGTTTCAAAGAAAAAAATTGGAAACTTCTCCATTACAAGTAACTAAGTCCATCCACCATTATTTTTTTCCTGGGAATAAGAAAAAACCATCACCATACGTTACATAACAATTTTGATACCACTTTTAATGAATTTCTCATGTTAATAAAAGTGGGCAAGAGAGACAGCAGAATATGTAATTTCGTAATCGTATTGCTGAATTAGGGTTTCAGCACTGAGCTATTTTTACCTTATATTACTTCAATCATTAAGTTGATTTGGTTTTCCTACCTTACAAAATAAAAAGCGCTCGAACCTTAATTTTCATTCGTTGACTGGGTTTCCAAATATTATTTGCGATAAGAACCTGGCTTGTTAGAACCGCTACATAATTTACTATACAGTTTGTAAAAATATATCCCAAATTGTAGGGCTCGTCCAAAATGTACTGGAGTTTTATCTTCAAAGTCATTATTTCGGAGCTTGAATAAGCGATAAATGTTTGTTCTTTGTAACAGACTTGAATAATGAGTAGGTTTATTTATAATGTTAATATCAGAAAACTCATTCAAATCATATTTTAGATTTTATCATTAGCTATTAGGTACTTGGTTTACGCTCCAGTTTCCGAAGACTGTGGTTGGGGCTCTGAGTCCCACAAGGGACAAGCGCTCCTTTGATCGCAAAATTAGATCTTGCTTGAGTCATGAATGTGGTTAGTTAGGTATGTTTGCCCATTATCTAGTTGCCGTGGTAATATATCATTATTATATTATGATATGCTTTCGGTTAAGGTAGAGGTGAATAAAATCTTACATTTATAGATATTGCTTGCTTGGATGATTTCAATAAATATGCTGTTAATTATAAACGAATCTTCTTATTTATAAAATCAAATACAAACATATTTATTTACTCAAGTTACCGGTAACTTCTACAGAGGTACATATAACCTCCGCCCGTACAGCTTATTCGTTTCGTAAGTCAGCTGAACGTCGCCGTGTTTGCCAGGCTCCGACGAGCGCTAAAAGCCTCTCCCAGCGAACACCCGCGTAATATCGGAAGACAAGAAGCAACTATTACGCAAAATGCCCGCCATGATAATCACTTTTCATCCATCCCCTATAATGTAAAAATGAAGAATTAGAACCATTTTACTGAAGGGACTTTTTACGGCCGGCCGATTCTGCTGACGCGTCCCCAATACTTCCACCATGATAGGCTTTTATCCTCCCCCCTCCCCCCTTTTCCCCCTGGGCTTATTACCCGTCCAGTTTATATCTCGTTACAAGTCAAAAGTTACTCTCATTTTATTTATTTAGAAGCCCTTTGGAATCATGATTTATTACAAAAATGTGAACGAGATTTCGCCTTTGTTACGTTTCTCAAAATTTTATTACTATTGTGCGCAATATTTCTCTGCTGACCTTTCAGCAATTTATTAGATAGAAATGTTGGTAACTAATTTTATAACGGCGAGGTCTTAAAAGTTAAAGAGACCAAAACTATTGTATTGCACAATAAGAAAGGCCCAAGACTTAAGGAATGAAGGATTACGTTTAGGAATTGGATTGTGAGTAAAATACGATATTGTTGTGGATTATTTTTGAATATTACAAAGGAAGTATCTATGAAAGGGCTCGACATCAATGTCCTTCATGTTTTTATTTTGTTGCAGTGCGTTTATTCGGTTTCCACTAAAAGCAATCTTGTCCAAACAGAGCATGATTTCCTGTTCATCTCACATACATTAGACAACGAATTACATTGAGTTTACTCTGCCAACATTCCGGTGTACCGTCGCCAAGGAAACGGCAATTACCTTCGGTTTGTGTGTCCCGATGATTGCTTAGCGAAAATAAATTAGCTTTCCACATCGCATCGCATTTGCCGACAAAAATCCGCCGTCGGCCACCGATGATGGATGATCCTTCCTTCCGTAGGGAGAGCCGTAATAGTATCGATTTGGGAGCGCAAAACTATCGATAACTATACACAGAAGGTAGTCCCGCGGAGGCTGACAGATGGCTCTCTCTCCAATCATCTACATTCTACATTGAATCACTGCGATACGCTTTAACCGCACGGGAGGGATTGAGAGCATAACACCATAGAAATAATCATAAATGAAATATTTTGGAAACTTAAATTATAAATGGTCATAAAATCAGAGTAAATACAAATGAGTACCTAGGTCATCTTCATAGAAAAGCACCGAGCGAGGTTTGTAATGTGAGCTCGCGCCAATACGTATGCGGCGCGCACGCACACACTGACAAAATTCAGGGCAATTCACCGCTAATCCACGCTAAAGTTTGTCAATGTGTGCGTGCGCGCCGCTCTTTTATTGGCGCGCTCGGGCGTTTCTATGAAGATGACCTACTCATTTGTATTTACTCTGATAAAATAAATACTAGGGAAGTACTTTTGAATTGTACACACGACAGCACATCAGGTTACCCACTTTTGTTGCAAACTCGCCCCTATTACAACTGCACAAGAACCCACAGTGGTTACGTTGACGTGCCGTCGTCCGTACTTAGAAAATAAAATAATTTTAATCCCTAGAAAATGTTTTAAGGCATGAATGAATGGATTTAAAAATTATTACTTTCACAAACATCGATAGTTCTGGTATCGATACTTTTCCGCGTCTCCCTTCCCTCCGCACTTATTACGCTCGAACACAACAACTTTCCGGAATTTACTCCGACTTAATTACTTCGCTTCAGAAACAATTTTGATGCTGCGAGTAGTTTGTGGAAACATGAATATAAATAAAACTGTAGTGACATTGCAAAATAAAACCTTACAAACCAAATAATAGGTAACAAATATTAATCACCAAGAAAATAAAATAATTTTAGCACGTACTTATTAACTGTAGATTGAACAAATTATTCGAATGTCCAATGTAGCGAACTTTTAAGACAGGCAGTCAAATACTTAATAAATTCAATGTCTTCTAATTATAGCAAGAGATTTCAAACATTCCTGATTTATTTTTAGCAGTCGACTTTATAAAGTAAAAATTCAAGTTTTTTCTTCGAGCATTCACATCGGAGCACAGCCGTGAACTTAGGTGCGAGCTGAACTGACGAAAAAATGTTTTTTTATTTTTGGAAATTATTATTAAATTAAAAGTAAGTAAAGTACGGCCAACGAGAAGCGATACCAAATGTAAAAAAACCCAATGTCATGGTCATTTGGAATAGTAGGGGTGGGTTGCACCACCTATCTTTAACGGTAACTATGACGATAACCGGTGCTTTTTGTATGGAATTTGACAGATTTTTGACGTTTGTCAAAGTTAAAGTAATATGGTGCAACCCAGCCTAAGGATTTGACTTTGACGTATTTTGGCGAGAGAACGAGACATTACGACAAATACACAAAATGGGAAGAGACAGAATAGATTGTCAGTTCGACAGTCGAATCGACCTTTTGTATCGCTGCTAGTTGGCCGTACTTTAGTCGACATTTTTTCGCACTGGTTGACCCGCTGCAAGTCAAAGGCAATCCTCCCGTCTTCTTATCTCTTCCTCATGGTAACTACAAACCAGTCCTTTTGATAGTTTAACTCCAACTAAAAATGCTTTAAAAAAAATTACGCAAAAATGTTTTTACTTATTTCTTTTAGTAAAACAATAATTTTCAATACTACCATATGTTTAATGTAATGTTTCACAAGGTATAAGTACGTACCCCTTAACAATAGTAACACTGAGAATGCGGCAAAATCCGCGGCGCGTTTAATAAATCTAATTTTAATTTAATATTTAACTACAAGAAAGGTTATAAAATTGTTTCAGACAATCAAGTTAAATTGTTATTTACGGTGGCAGTAATAACTAAATGATTTATTGCAGAAGCTGAGTAGGGGAGACTGGGTACGGTTGAAACAATTTTGCTTTTATTGTCTATAATTTTGTTATTTAATAACCAAGTGACGATTACGATACGTGAAATTGAAATTTGAAGTTTTAGCTATGATATGGCTGTATCATTATAGTTCCCGGGTTACTATTTATAGAAATATACGCAATTTAAAAAAAAAGAAATTTTGTTTCAACCGTCCCCATGCCAGGGGCGGTTGAAACAGCGATTGGGGTCTGTTGAAATACATACAAATAATACAATAAGTACTAATAAAACGTGTTTTATTTATCATTAATAATACGAATATTAAAATTATAGTACCACATGACGACATTAATCAGTCTAAGTATTTAATATTTCTAAAACATTAATTAGCCTTTGATTAGTAGTAAACATTTAAAAAAATAACAGAAATATGATTAACTAAATGATATTTCCAAACCTAATAAACATTAATAATAAAATAATATTAAAATTCTGAATAAAATTAACGAAAATCTTTTTTTTTTTCAAACCATACTTTTCCGCCGCGTTCCGCAGTGAATCTCAAGCTTTTACCACCTCTAATGCTTTACTAAGTCAATTTCCTCTCTGGAAATCTTCCTTATCCAAACTCTCGGTATCTACAAAAAATTAACATTAATAAATTTTCTGTTTCAACCGTACCCACAATAAATGTTTCAACCGTCCCCAACCCCACTTTTGGTAAAATATACTTTATAGTTTCGACACTAATGATAACACATTAAAAATAGTTACTGGCCCTTATTCTAAAAGCTTCATTATAATCGCAAACGCACACTCGATTCATTCACGTAAAAAGAACAGGTAGTATAAGCGTTAATGTCTGAAGAAAAATACTTACTTTTGGGCAGTAAAAAACAAAATGGCGTTTTGCACACAACGTCAACGCCTTAGGAAGTTTTAGGCACTAAATTCGTGTTCGGACCTGTTGTCCGCTTCTTTTTCCCCTAGGACCCCTAACTCCCCGTGGAACCGTTTACGAGATATTTGCTCTGTTTCAACCGTCCTTTGTTTCAACCGTACCCAGTCTCCCCTATAAGTAGGGCAGGTCCGAGGCTGCCAGCCATTCCACTGCTCTCAGCGCCAAGATGATCGCGGCGAGCTGCTCTGTAGTACTCCTGGTTCTGCTCGCCACTTGTGAGGCAAGATTATGCGCAAAAGGCATTTACGGTATGTTGTTTGCTACCAATAATCACTTGAATAATTTTTATTTTATTTACTAGTTTTCCGCCCGCTTCGCCCGCGTGAAAAAATGACTGTTTTTAGGGTTTCCCGGAAATTATTCGAATTTTACTCGCCGTAAAAACCATCCTTGGACTTCAACAAAAATTTAAAAAAATTGCTAAGTGCCGTAGAATGGGGTTACTTTGTTTCACGGGATGACTTTGATCGAAACTTCCATTTTGTATAAAATCACGAATCGAGTAAAACGAAACGCAATTTGGTAGTTTCTTTTTTAGATTAGCAACACTGAAGAACTGTCAAAGTGTCAATTCCTTTTTTGAGAACACGCGGGAAATTCGCCTTTAATTTTAATTAAAAAAGGTTGATATAATGTTATTCTCTATTTATAGCTAAATAATTGTGTTGCAAAACTTCATGTGTATTTATTTATGTGATAATAAAATGAATCTAGATATACTCCATCATGTGGCCTATGATCGATTAACCCATACAGTGCTTGCTTAATGTTTTTCTAACTTCAAAGATAATGGAATGACTTGAGTTTGTTTGATGCGGGGTGTCATTGATTATGGTGTGAGATTGATCAAAATTGATCAAATTATCCCCAGAGACTATACTTGGTTCGCGATGAAATATCTGAAATTAGGACAAGTGAAATAATTAATCTACCAGCCAAAACCAAAACCTTTTGCAATTCTAGATAGTAACGTTGAATGTGTCCAATTTTTTTAATATTGATATTGCAGAATTTGTATGACTTAAGTGAATTTCTATGACTCTTATTGTTTTGTTGCATAAATTTAATATTGTTGATTTTTTTTTAAGACAAATCATAATTTTTATAATTATTTTTTAGATTTTATTTTGTGAAGTTTAATTATATCTAAGTTCTTTTCGTTCGTAAAATCAATGAATAATACTGATAGAATGCTAAAATTTTAATACCAACATTTTAGTAACGAAATACAGTTAATTATTTGATGTCTTTTACTAGATCAGAGTTACCCCATAGGACAAAAATGTCAATAACTATTTATCCCGTTGGCAGATTTTGATTTTTTTAAATTTATTGGTATTATAATTGAGGTTACTTTCTATTTACGCAATAAAATCTGGGGATATCAAAGAAACCCCATTCTTCTTTTAGCTTTGATCACATACTATTTTTTTTTCTCAAAATTGAGCCATATTTTTTCATTTTTTATTACACGAATCGAGAGTGCTATATAAACCGATTATTAGACTTTTTTTGTATTTTTACACCCACAAATTTAAAAGATATGGACCTTCAAAGTTTAAAATTGGTCAAAGTAACCCCATTCTACGGTGCGTGCCGTGCCTCAGTATAGGGTTCCGTAGTTGTCTGTCGTTAACACAATTATATTTCAGAAGCAAGCAATTACTCATCTAAAGTCACTTTTAATATTTTCTTCTAAAGCTTCAACCACATCAACGCGTGCAGATCGCCATCGCCGGCACGATCAAAGGCCAATGACAGGTCGCGCGACCCTAATTACAGATTTTAAGCAATGATAGCTACTATCCGTTCGCTTTAAGTTTGCCGCTGGCGATATGACGTCACTCGAAGGGAAGCGTCTATAACTTTATCAAACTATATGTATTCAAAACTATTTTAGATTTATTATTATTGATAAAAATTGTGTATTTGCCTAAATTAAGACACTTTAATTGCGTTTAATCACTAACTAATTGCGTTTAATCGCGGTTGGGGGAGGGGGACGCTCATTCTACGGACCGTCAAACTTAGCGCGAACGGGTAGTACCTAAATAATAATAATAATTATAGATAATGATTTATTACTTATTCGAACGGTGAAGGGGACGGACTGGCTGACTCCTGATCCGGGGAACGCGGGTTCGGTTCCCGCCGCCGCTCGACTATGTGGTGATCTCACTCTTACTAATAAATCTTTAAAAAAAATGATGAAATTGGCATTTATTTAGCAAATTGTTTTTCACTTTTAGGTGACAACACTGCGGCCCCTGTGCATGGTGAAACTCGATACTTTGCAGGCAACTCTATTGTATACGAAATAACGGTTCGTCTACTTATTATAAGGGAGAGTTCGGTAAATTGTACCGCCGGGTAAATTGTACCACCCTCATATTTCGTAAAATATTTATTGAGCGATACCCAACTAAATACATTGAATATCGGCCATTTATGGTTTTGCCGTGATAATGAACACGGTGTGTTTTTTTTTAAGTTTTTTTTTTCATTACTTTCATGTAATTTTTGAAAATGCATGTTTAGTTTGTAATTTTGTTAAATTTAATCATACAGTGTTTCTAACTTAGTACCTACTTAGAAGCGTAAGTTAGTGTGGATTACAATTAAATCATTTTTCGGTATTTATAAGTTAAAGTTATATTTTTAATTGACTTGTACCACATCAAGTTGTACATGCAATTTTACCAAAGGATTTTGATTTTTTTTTTTAGTAAATCATTTATTTTGAAGTTATCATAGCATTAGGTTTGACTTAACAATAAATGAAAGCAATGACTGGCTAAGGCCCAGTTTTTTTTTTTTATTCTTAGTTAAAATAATTTGACAGATGTCAAATGACAAGTGGTTAAATATCAGAAAAAAATGATTTTCGAACAATGGTTAACTTGACTTTTAGTACATTTTTAACTATTTGTTTACATTTTGTTAATATTTAACCATTATGTTGAAAAATTTAACAATTAGTTATATTAACTAAGAATCAAAAAACAAGGCCTAAGTAGATTAGGTACAAGTGTGCGTATCGTGATGATATGTAGTTAAAACTTTTTTTGACTTTGAAACAATATCGATTGTCTATGTTATTAAGTACTGTTCCTTTTCGTTACCTAATTTGTTAAGAATGTATCGTATACAATTAGCCATATTTTTTAAAAGGCTTGAAAGAAGACGTCCTCGGAGCGTAAAGTTTGCTCACATACCTACAACACACGGTTTGGATTTATAACAAAAACAATAATTCCTTTTAAGGTTTAGGTATTTACATTTATACGAGCACTTCATTTTCTCTGAAGTATGGTGCGGGTGACAGCTGTCACTCCTATTAAGTTCTCTTCTATTAAGTTCAGAGATAATAGAGTATGGTGGCGTTTGGTCGAAAATAGAATTTGTAAGAAATTGTAAGCCATGGCAACCGCCCAAAACTTTAGCATGGTTTTCGACGAAGACACGGTTGCTAAGTTCAATAGTAACATTTTCCATATATTTTTTTAACACAAAAGAACGCCATTTTTTTCTTATTAGTGCTAACAATTCTATTTTCGGTCAAACGCATCCTATGTCCTTTCCCGGGACTCAAACTATCTCTATGCCAAATTTGAAACTTTACAGTATTATATTATTGTTTGTAATCCAGATTAACATATAATTTATGCCTATCTGTGACAATTTAAAGCAATTTTTTAATAGGTAAGTTAATAAGTAAACCTTTAGTGTAGTTTGCCTTGACACTTTAGCGCCCTCCCATCTTCCTTCTACCGGCGTCAAGGTGGGTCGGCTGCTGCTTCTGCAGAGGACCTCAAGCGGCGCAAACATGAAAATCTCAATGAGACATATTTGAGCCGGTTGTAGTTGAAACTCTGGGCCAGTGGGGACCAAGCGCCCACAAACTGTTACGTAAGATGTCTCAGGGCTTACTTGAGACATCTTACGATTCAAAGGCTGGCCTATACCTTGGCCAACGCATAAGCCTGGCCATCTAGCGTGGCAATGTGGCCAGCCTTCTGGGCACCTTTCCCCAAGGCAGCGATTTGAATGATTTTTTTTATTTAGAAAACTCGTACATATTTAAATTTTTACTCTTAGTTTTATTTTATTTCTTCAATTTAGGTTTAGTTAATATGTACGTTAAGTAAAAGTGTACCTACTTTTGAACTAAGTGGTATAACTAAGGCCCGGTTTTTTGATTCGTAGTTAAATTAACCAATGGTCAAATTTGACAGATGTCAAATGACAAGTGGTTAAATATCAGAAAAAAATGTTTTTCGAACAATGGTTAGCTTGACTTTTAGTACATTTTTTAACTAATTGTTTACATTTTGTTAATATTTAACCATTAGTAGCAAAATTTAACAATTAGTTATTTTAACTATGAATCAAAAAACTGGGCCTAAGTGGTAACATTGAGCATACATTTTTTTAAATACCTTCGCGAAGTAAAACTTCTGTACGTACCTAGTATTTATTATTATTCTGTGGTATTACTATTATTATAAATTGAAGAGTTTGTTTGTTCGCTTGAACGCCTTAATCTCTGTCCGATTTGAAGGGGGTAAAATAAAAATAGGGAATTTTTAGTGAACTCAGGCATACTTTTTTATTTATGTTTTTTACTTTTTGTTAAATACTTAGTATACGATAAGTGATCTCACTCGATTATGTCTAAACTATACAAGATATCGAAAAACTGATTACTGATCATGTACTTAAGTGCTTCACAAGCTCTTTCAAACGGTATCAGTAATAGGTCACAGAATTAACAGGATCTATCCAAAAATTCAATGTTTTCAGCCTCCATACTAATGTGCCAGCCACACAATATTTTTTTAATTAAATAATTAAATTCTTAAAATAAACTCTTACTTGCATTCTTATTCAAAATAATTCACTTAAAACATTAGGCTTTCCTTGCTAATATTATCAAGACATGAAGGCCATGACTGTGGCGGTACTAAATGTATGGAAGCTGGAAACATTGAATTTTCGGATAGATCCAGTTTATTTTGTAACCTATTACTAGTACCGTTGGATAGAGCTCATGAAGCACTTTCAGGATCAGTAACCAGTGTTTGGATATTATCTTGTATTGTATGAGTGAGATCACTTATCGTTTCTGCCCTGTATCGGTATACTTACATACAGGGTGTTTCTTGTAAGGTGTCAAGCCGAAGGCAGGTGATAGGTGAGGACTAGACCTATCGATTTCACCCCCATGTATGTTCTACGATTTTTCATAGTTTAGAAGTTATCGTTAATTTTGTGATTTTTTCAAATTGTATGACCCACTAGGCTTTAAATTTTTTTATCTTTTTTTTGGGTCGACTTCTCTCAGATTTTTTTTTTACAGATTCCCTATTAATTGCAGATTTTTGAAAAAAAATAATCAACTTCCTATCTTTGATGCAAGATACAAAATTTTTGCTAGAAGCATAAAAAATATGCTATTAGCGGAACATTCTAAAATTTTCAACTTAAAAGTTAAAAAAAAAAATAGGTGGCCTTACCACTAGACCACAGTGGTGGTTGTTACTTTACGATTAAATTCGATATACCTACATATTAGAGTGTGAGAGAAAGAGAAAGAGTTTGTGTGTGTGTGTGTGTGTGTGTGTGTGTGTGAGAGAGAGAGAGAGAGAAAGAGAGAGAGAGAGAGAGAGAGAAAGAGAGAGAGAGAAAGAGAGAGAGAGAGAGAGAAAGAGAGAGAGAGAGAGCAAAAATGGGTGTAATGATTTAATTTAAAGTAAATGTTCATAATGTCCGCCGTTGACCTGAATGCACATTCGACAACGACGCAAAAAAATTCTTCGTAAAACCTTCTTCATCATTTTAATTTGGTTTTGTGCTTCAGTCAGCTTTGTCCGCAGCTTTGTCCGCAATGTGTTCTACATAACGTAAACTTAAGGGATTGCAAACATTACTTAGTCCTAAGAAAGTCAAAAACATGTAACGGAATCTCCGACTTACCACTTTAGTGGAGCGATTACAGAAAATAATGGCCTATTAAGTACATGTTTTTTTGTGTTATTATGAAAGTTCAGAAAACTGCGCAGTTTTTAAAATTATTTTGGACCTATGGAAGTTCTTTTTTTTTTCAAACTTTTAAGTTGAAAATTTTAGAATGTTCCGCTAAAAGCATATTTTTTATGTTTCTAGCAAAAATTTTGTATCTTGCATCAAAAATAGGAAGTTGATTGTTTTTTTTCAAAAATCTGCAATTAATAGGGAATCTGTCAAAAAAAAGAAATCTGAGAAAAATCGACCCAAAAAAAAGATAAAAAAATTTAAAGCCTACTAGGTCATACAATTTGAAAAAATCACAAAATTAACGATAACTTCTAAACTATGAAAAATCCTAAAACATACATGGGGGTGAAATCGATAGGTCTAGTCCTCACCTATCACCTGCCTTCGGCTTGACACCTTACAAGAAACACCCTGTATATCGCACACAGGGCGGGCCGCTAGTAATTAATAAAATAATCGCGGGCAAAGCTGGGTCAGCAACTGCTCTGAGCATCTTTAAAAATTATCTTATCTTTACTTTAATAAATTTCTTATTTTAGCAATCCTATCCGTGTCATCATGTGGGCACGGAGGTGGTGGTGTGTGTTGACGACTCCAAGTATCCTTCAGTACATATAAAGGACTTAAACATTGCAAGTATCGTTCGTCATGGAAATATATGGGGGTATGCGGAAGTGAAACCAATAACGTACTGCAGAAAGTATAAAGGCGCTGACCAAGCCGGAAAAGCTCTACCTGCTCCGCGAGTCACCGTAGTCAAGTCAGGCAACTAAAGAGTGAAAATAAATCATTACAACGATTATTATCTTTTGTTTTCATCAGTTTAACACTTTGGTGGATAGGACAATAAGTTAAGAATAACTTCCCAAATGACACTACTTATTTACATTATTGCCTATGGGCGTAGTGTCAATGTAAAACGGGTAAACACTATGACGTCTATAGGCGTTCTGTCGTATCATTCTTTACTACTTGAACGCCCGTGGACGTTACTGTCATTCAATGTGTTAACTTCCCTTACTTAAGATTTTAGACGCATTTAGTAGTAAGTAGCACTCTGTCAAGAGTGTAACAAGAAGAAAAAGAAGTAGTAGCAGGCCTGTTCATCTCCGCGAGTTTACATCGAAAACAAAACACGCACGATGGCCCACCTACAGGATACTATTCGACAAGGCCTCACATACGAGCGAACATTGACTCACGCACGCGTATTCTTGTGTATGATGGAAGAAAATAAAGAAAATGGTGTACTAAATACTGTGCAGTATTTAACTGCCTAAATAATAATAAAAACACAGAATGTACTTTTTTAAGTTGCCTCAAGACACTGAGCGGTAAATAAGTAGTTAATATTATTCATGATAATTCATGCTAAATCATGTATTTCCTCCGCCATTTTCCGCAGTTTGGCACCTCACGTCACATCACTTTACCGAAGTCAGCCCTATAGCTTCGGCGCAGTGCCGATCACTGACGTTTGTCAACAAAATGGTGCTTGACTCTTGATACAGGCTAAATTACACCATATTGTTAATGACATTGAGCATACCTTTTTTTTAAATACCTTCGCGAAGTAAAACTTCTGTACGTAGTACTTATTATTATTCTGTGGTAGTAGTAACAGCACTAGCAGTATTATGTTATATTTATGATTTCCTAATAATTACCTACTCTGGTTTCTGAAATAAATTATTGAATTTGAATTTACGAGATCGAATCCGTAACCGAACTGGATTAATTCTGTAAATCTTTTGGAGAGGCATGTTGTAAATGTTCATCTGGCTACGATATTACTATTTTTTATTCATAAACAATGTGGAGTGGACTTTTCCAGATTATCCTTATTTATTTATTATTTATTTGTTTTAGTTTTTACCCGTAAACATTTGAATAATTAAATAAATACAGGGTGACTCCAAAAAGTACATAATAATTACGTCGTTCATTTATTAGGACAAATATTACACCTCGAGTTTGACCTCGAGCTTTGTCATTACGATGCAGACTTAGATGGGAAACTGCATTCTCTTTAATTCGAAGGAGTAGGTAATTTGGTGATGTAAGGGGAATCCTAGAAATAAAAACAGACTCTCCTCATTGAAATTGAGACATTTCGATTTGCGAACAACGTTATGTGTTTATTTACGAGATCGAATCAGAAATGAGAAGATCCATAAACGAACTAAAGTCGCTGATATAGCCCGACGGATTAACAAGCTGAAGTGGCAATGGGCAGGGCACATAGTACGCAGAACTGACGGACGATGGAACAGCAAGGATCTGGAGTGGAGGTTACGTACCGGAAAGCGCAGCGTAGGACGTCCACCCACAAGGACACCCACCTAAACTATTGAAGGTACCTGTTCTTTGCAAATAAATACTTTGACTTTGACTTTGACTTTGAAAAGGTGGACCGACGACATCAGCAAGGCACTGTATGCAGGCCGCCCGCCACCGACCGGCCAGTGTGGAAATCATTGGAGGAGGCATAGGCCTCCATATGCATAGCCATAGGACCATGAACCTATGTTCAGCAGTGGACGTCCTATGGCTAAAGGTTTCATCGTTCTAGCTCAAAAATGAAGAATTTCCACACAAGCTTTTTTTTAAATTGCCTAATTTAAGAAAGAGATAGGAATTTATTAGAAGTATTTAAATTCATTAATTCAAATTAATCTGAAATTCCGTGGCATACGCAAGTTCACCCACGCACCGGGCCCCATGAATCACACAACTCATGCCGAGGCCCTCGTTTATCATTCGAATCAAAAACAGAGAGCAAAGCTTTAAGCCCGCCATGATGGATGGACCGCCAGGATACATTGTAACCTTTTTCAATTGACTGGCTCTTTGGCAGGTAAGTCATTAGGTGTTTACGCCTGCCTCAAGCGATAGCACTCGCAAGCATATCAGATTATTTCTGTATCTAATTCTAGTTAAGGTATCTAATTATTTGTAAACAATAAGGATCTCATTGCTCAAGGATTTACCTAGCAAAAAACGACAAAGTTATGCGGGCTATTAAATTTAGATAATTTATTGTTTTCTATACTGATGCATTTGGGAATAAAGTCTCGCGTCCCCATGGACATCAATCAGCCAGTCGGATCTCATCTGCCTTTGATCCATCCCAGGAGACCATGTCTTCTTTAATCTTTTTTCTTCTTTTTTTCTAACATAAGATATTACCGCAGCGTTGCCAGTTTTTTTTTTCGCCAAGTCGGGACTTTGGTACTTTTTGAGTGAAAATAGCGGGATTCTTCCGTCAGAAACGGGACATAGTAAAAAAACGTATATAATCAAAGGTTTTCAAATATTTATCTTTTTATTTGACTTAAAATTACGTTTACGTGAAATTACGTGACAATAGATAGCAAAAGCAGCCATAGAAAATGTATTTTAACAAAAAAATAATATTTTAAATCAGATTTACTCTATCGTTAAATTCTTCTTTAGAATAAAAAAAGAAAAAAAAACAAACATCGAAATAAAAAAAAATGTATTCTTTAGAGTAATATGGCGTTTCAAACAATAGTCTGGTGAAGTGAGTGTTTCTCTCTGAAAAGCGGGACCGAGCCTGTCCCGCGCGGGACATTTAAATTTGATTTAAAAATCGGGACGTCCCGCCAAAATCGGGACGTCTGGCAACGCTGTATTACCGATACCTATACAGGGTGTCCCAAAAAGTAGTGTCAAGATGAAGTTCAGAGGTAGAGCATCAGTAGGGCTATCCGAATCACCTCCATGTATGTTCCGCGATTTTTATATTTTTGTAGTTGAAATTATTTTAAGTTTCTGTGTTTAGGCGCTTTTTTGGTCACTGTGTGCGAATAGATAAGATAGGTACATGTCTGATTTTTTTTTATTATATGAATAGGCCTAGCTGATTCAGAAGTATTTACATGCATAACACGAATGTAAACTAAAAATGTTGAAAATCCTGTATGTTGTAAAAAAATCATAACTCAAAAACTATCAAAAGTCGCGGTGATTCGGGTAGCCCTAGCAATGCTTTACCTCTGGGCTTCGCTTTGAAACTACTTTTTCAGATACTCTGTATAATTTCACCCTGTCCGCTCTGAATGTAGTTCCAAATACGTCGCCAGGGCGGCAGCGGCCCGATGTGGCCATCCCCGGGGTCCGCACATCAATCAGCCGGCCAGATCTCATCTGCGTTCGGCCTCCCCCGGGACTCGCCGTCGCGTCCCGGGAAGACATAAAAATTATATGAGCCAACGTTGTGGAATCGAGATATCAGATATCATTTTTATGATCGCTATGCACTATGCTTCTCTAGGTTAAAAAATATTCACGGAGTACGGACATGGAACATCAAAATTACCTATAGCATCGTACGTGGTTATCATTGGTGTAGTAGTTTATGATGACTGTTAGACATAGCAATAACATAATAGCTATTAAAGGAATATTTTTTTATAATGGAGGTTTTATAATTAAGTAGTTCTTTGTACCTTTTAAATCCATAATTGTGGAAAACCTTGGAGGAGGCCTTTGTCCAGCAGTGGACATCATTTGGCTGCAACGAAGAACGAACGAACCTTTTAAATCAAAACAATATGCGTACATTATTTTTTGTTAAGAATTAGACATTAAGGCAAAGGCCTAATTTACCGCCCAAATTACTATGTAATTACATATTATTCCAATTAGGTATCACCAATTACCAATTAATTAGCCATCGTTTTGGGCCGAGCCTGTCGATACTATGGTGACTACATAATTCAGATGCTTTATAAATTATGGTATCAATTTATGTGCACTTTAAAATGATTGCACTGACTGACATAAAAATGTCATACGGGCTTCAAAACTTCTTTCCTACAAAGCTTTAAAATTATAATATGTATTTAGGCTGAGTTGCACCACCTAACTTTGACCGTTACTTTGACGTTAACCGGTGTTTTTGTATGGAGTTTGACAGATTTTTGACGTTTGTCAATGTTAAAGTAAGATGGTGCAACCCAGCCTTAGAGTGATGTATTGCTTGCTCGTCCCTTTTCCGTGCGAGAGAAATGCGACGTCGTCAACTTAGCGATAGATCGATTCGTTGATGTCTACTTTAATATCGATTCTGGGATGTGCTTGAATCAGCTGCTGGTTAATATAATTATTTCGGAAAGTTTTGATTATTTTATAAAAAGAGTTAAATATAAGTTTTATGAAACCGTTTTATGCCAGAACTACTTATCTTTTTTTCTTGACTGCACTGAAATGGGTGCTTATTAATATGTTTCTTTCTTTTAGGATTATTAAGCGACACTTAGGCTAGGTTGCACCATCTTACTTTGACTTCAACAAACGTGAAAAATCTGTCAAACTCCATACAAAAAACACCGTTTATTATTATAGTTACTGTTAAAGTAAGGTGCTGCAACTCAGCCTTACAAGTTTGTCCGCGCCATCAAAGCCCATTCTGTGTAGCCTAAATGTAAACTCCTTTAGTAATAAGATACTATCTTTACAGCACTATTGCCGCATAAAATCTTAAGTTTGAAACTACATAGTCATGTTGTCAAGCGCACGTTATGTTCCGGCGGGTTGGAAGCAGAGTGTTCGCCGCACGTCCTAATATAATCGTGAAGGCTTCGGGAGAGGCACAGCCGAACGTATCCAGCCATAAATAACTGCGCGTCTTGATAAATATGCTAGTAAATTTTATACATACAGACAGCTTTTTCCTTTGCACATTTTTGGCAATAAATAATCAAGTAGTCTGTTCGGATCTGAAGGAATGAAACGAGATATAAAATGTACAGCGCTT